CATAGGTATATATAATATGTACCATATTTTGAATCTAATGATTCTATTTTAATAACTTTGTTTTCAGTTAATTGTAATCTACTAATTAAGGTTTTAATCTGATAGTCTGGGTTTGGAGCATAAACAGCAACATAGTCACCTGGTTGGTATGAGGAATTGGTATCATTAAGATCTAATGTCATTTCAATAACTCTTTTAATATCAACTTGAGATTCACTGTCATTACTATTATCTGTCATATATCTTGCGGATACAATTGTAGCAACTTGTTTACAACCCAATGACTCCATATTATCTCCATTGTTATTATCTGAATCTAATTCGATTTTAATTCTACATGCTGGCAATTCATTTGCATTGGTTCCAGCTGCTCTTTTTAATACAATCTTTTTTTTAGCTGGAGCTGAAGGTTGTGGTGGCGCTTCTGACATTATAAATTAAATTATTTTTTAATCAAAAAAAAAAAAAAAAAAAAAATATCCAAAATTCATTAAAAAATTAAAATAAAAAAAAAAATAAAAAGAAAAACTTAATGATTAGGTTATTCATATTGCAAATGGAAGCTCCCATCAACATAAATTTAGATATTATTTATAGAAAATTGGTGATCTTTATTATGTGCAATTTTTGTAAAAAAAAAATAGTTAAAATAAAATATAATATTGCATATTTTGATTCTTTATTTTTTATATTTTTGTTCATTATTTAAAATTAAAAAACTGGGGTGAATATTATAATCTAATCTTTTTTGGTGGATTATAGATTGAAATACCCATTTAGTCGAGACTATAGGGACACCAGTGTCTGAAGATATTTTATGGAAAGGAGTGTTGGTATACCTATCATCTAAAAGATAGACATCGGTCTTGCTTTTGGCAAACATACGCTTAACCACCTTGGCACCACATTTCCTTAAGATTGGAGACCAATCATCTATGAATGAACCGTTTCTATCTTGTGTTAAAATTTCTATTTTAAAATTAGAAAACAACTCCTTGATATTAAAATCTTCAGTTGGATATATGTTATTTTGGGTAAATACAGATTTACCAAATGGTAGAATATAATTGTCGAAAGGCTTTAACTTTTCCGGTTCACTAAAATCATATATCCAATCAACTTTGATACAATCAACCCCTTCTACTATACCTCGTATACATTTAATTGTTTTAGCCGATTCTGATGCCAATATCATCTTGTTTGGAATATTACCAATATGTTTATCACTTATTGAGAAAAAGGTATTTATGTTGTCATAAACTTTACCACTACCAAGAGTAATGAATTCAGAAATTTTTTCTATAAATAAATTACAATTAATACATAATTATAATAGATGAAATATAAATATAGAAAACTTACCTGCATCTTTATCAAAACCTGTTATTAAAAAATTAAGACCTTTAAATAATGTTGTTTTTTTTTGTTTCTTTTTTTTTGAAATAATTGGTTTTTTGGATTTATTTCCATTAATTGTATTTGAAATATCCCCCTCCTTATGGTTATTGTCAATATTATTGTTATTATTATAATTAATATCGATTTTATTATTGTTAATATCATTATTAATTTTATCATTTTTATCATTAATATCTTTTTCATTATCATTATCATTACAATTATCAATATCGTTTTCATTATCATTATTATTACTATTATTGTTTTTATTGTTTTTATTAATATTATTATAATTGTTATTACTATAGTTTTCCTCATTATTTTGTTTTTCAAAATGAACAAATTCATCTTCTTGTTCAGATTCTTCCGTATCTATACATATAATTTCTAAATTTCTTTTTTCTTTTACACTGACTTCGGTGTCACTATCTTCTAGTACTATACAACTTTCTTCATATTGTATCTCTTTTTTTACTAATGATTTTCTTGGTTCTAAAACGTGTTCCCAATTTTCTGGCCAAATTTTATTATTTATTTCCCCAAAAAGATTTTTATAAATATTTAGAGTGTGTTCATATCTTTTTGATAATAAATTGTTTTCTTCATCATCATCAAAATTAATATCAAACATATTTCTATTTGGATCTGTGTTTAAATTTGCCCCTATTAGTTTTAAAAAATCATTGTAGTTTCTTGTATCTAAAATATGATTTTTATAAAAAACCAAAAGCTTTTAAAAAATTTTATTAGTTATTATTTTTTTAATCTTTTTTTTTAAAAAACTTACCATTGGTGGTGGTTGTAAAAGAGTTGAGTCAAGATCGTTAGATATAACCCTTAGTGAAATATATTTAGCATATTCAGTAATCAGTTGAAAGTTTAAACTGCCATCTAAACCTGTATTACGCAATACTGAACTAAAATCTACTTTATTAGTAATCTTTATAAATAATTCTTGTGCATTTGTTTTATTAATATCGTGATTTGATAATTGTTGTTTTGAACTATTATCAACATCACTATTTTTAAAATCGGTTAGTTTACTGGGGTTAAGAACAGATCTTCTTTTTTGTGGATGTAGATCATCACTATTATTATATTTTTCCAAAAAACTAGATCTTTTCTTTTTAGCACCTTTACCTGAAAGAACTTTCTTAATTTCATTATTACTTAATGTATTTACACTTCTACCATTAATATATAAATCTTCATCCATTATTATTTTAAAAAAACTATATAAATAAAAAAAAAATAAAAAAAATAAAAAAAATTATTATTTGTATTGATGAAAGAAAAAAAAAAAAATGTGTATATTCATTTTTTAAAAAAAAAAAAAAACAAAAAAAAAACAAAACAAAACAAATTAAATAACTTAAAAAAATTTTGTAGTGGTAGTCCCTATTAAAAAAAAAGATTAACATAAAATTTAAAAAAAATATGAATAAAATAGATGTAGAACAAAAGAAAATTTTAATTTATTCAGTAACTTTTTTCAAAAAGAATATAAATAATGAAGGAAAATATTAAAAAAATATTAAAAAAAAATGATAAAAAAACCATTATTTTCTTTTTTCATTATATTTATTGAAAAAAAGTTTTGAAAGAATTTATTTTTTATTTTTTTGGGTTGTCATTTTAATATTTATGGCAATCGAGGGATGTTTTGGTGATGTCCCAATCTACATTGAATAACTGTGCCATTTACCATATTATAATATGAAGGTGTTAAACTTGGTATTATTAATGTATTTGTTTGAAGAATAAAAAAATTATAATCTATTCCATAATTCTGAAAAACAAAGTTTATCAATTTATATAATTGTGAATCCAAACCAATTTTAAAATGAACAGTTTGTGGAGGTTTTCCATTTCTTTCTATTTGACACTTTATTAAAATTTGAGATGGCGATGCTTGTTCATTAGGATCTCCTACATTATTATTATTTAAATTTAAAGGTGTATTCTTATTATCTATTATGTTATTACTAATCATATTATCAATATTATTATTATTATCATCACTATTATTATTATTATTATTATGTATGATGCCATCATTACTTGAATGTATATTATTAGTACTAGTACTAGTACTATTACCATTATCATTACTACTATCCATAAAATATGATTTGTTTATATTTTTTTCTCTTTCTTTTTCTCTTTCCATTTCTCTATATATTAAATTCTTTGCTCTATGATGCTTTTTATTTCTATCGTTATCATCTTTTTCTCTATTTTGTAAATCTTTTTCTCTATTTTGAAAATCTTTTTCTCTATTTTGTAAATCTTTCTCTCTATTTTGTAAATCTTTTTCTCTATTTTGAAAAACTTTTTCTTTTTGATTTAATAATGCAGATTCCTCATCTAATAATTTTTTTTGTTTTTCTAATTCATTTAATTCTAACTCCTTCTTTTGCAAATTTCTTACTTTAGAATCATTTTTTCCTGCATTATTTTCTTCAAACTGTGCATGTCTATTACTAAATTTATTTGTTTTTTCGTGTGTTAATGCTAAACATTGATCCCAATTATTTGGCCAAATTTTATTATTAATATTTGCAAAATTCTTTTTATAAATGTTTAAAGTGTGTTCATATCTTTTTGATAATAATTTGTTTTCTTCTTCATCATCGATTATTATATCCAATCTATCTGGGTCTGAGTTTAATTCTACATTAATTAATTTTATAAATTCAAAATAACTTTTGGTATCTAATATATGATATTTATAAAATATTTGAATCTATATAAATAAATGGTTTTGTTAATATATATATTTATATTGATATTTTTGTTTAGAAAAAAAACTTACCATTGGTGGTGGTTGTAAAATAGTTGAATCTAAATCATTGGATATAATTCTTAGTGACATAAATTTAGCATATTCGGAAACTAATTGAAATGATAAAGAGTCATCAAAACCTGTTCTCTGGGCTATGTCACAAAAATTTATTTTTTCAGTAATCAGTTTATAATATTTGTGTGCATTTAAATTGTCGAAACCTGTTGTTCTACTATCTTGATTATTTAATTGTTCGGGGTTGAATTTTAAATAATTTTTATAGTCATCAATGTTTTTTTCAATTTCGATTGTATTTTTACTATTGTTAATACTATTACTATTATTTATTATATTATCAATATTGTTTCTGCTTCTATATCTTGTATTAATATTACTATTGCTATAACTATCGGTTAGTTTAGAGGAGTTTAGAATTGATTTTCTTGTTGGGCGACTTAAATTAACACTATTGTTATAATTGTCTAAATAATCGTCCAATACTTTGTCCCCTGTATTTGATTTTGGTGTTGTAGTTGTCTTTGTTATTGATCCATAATATTTTGTTGTTGCAGTGGTGGTTTTCATATTTCTAGCTTCAATCTTTTCTTTCTTTAATATTTCAAATAATTGAGTGTAAACTGAAATCTTTGGAGGACACCTTTCCATTTGAACACCTTTGCTTTTTAGAATCGTCCTCAATTCATTATAACTTAATTTATTCAAAGATTTGATGATTTCCTCTTCCATTCTTTTCGTTTTTTTTTTTTTGTTTTTTTTATAATTTAAAAAATCTATTAAATAAAAATACACACATATACATAAATATCTTCTTCTTTAAAAAACAACAATAATAATGAGTGTTGTATAAGAGAAATGACAAATAAAATAAATATATTCTATTTAAAAAAAAAAAAAGAAATGATTTGAATTGGGTTGAAAAAAATTAAAAATTTATAAAAAAAAAAAAAAAAAAAAAAAAAAAACCAAATTAAAAAAAAAATTAAAAAAAAGTTTTATAAATGTGTATGGTTTAACACCCATAAAACTAATGGAAAAAAAAACAATAGATAAAGTGGCATAAATAAAGAAAAAATGAAATAAATAGAAATAAATAGAATTTTAAATTTTTTAAAAATAATATCATTATTTCGTTGTATCTAATTGAATATTTTAAAATAAACTAATATTCATAAAGATTTATTAAGTGATCCTCCACTTTATAAAAATTGGTCATGATTTCGAAAACATTTTCCTTATTTAAAATGATTGAGTTTCTTTGATTACCATATATGTATTTTATATTTATGCATTTAGTGATATCGGTTGATAGTAAAAAATTAAAGGGCAATATTAAGTTATCTCCGATGACAATTTGTCTGAATTGGTATTTATGGTTTTCGAGTATTTCTGATAGAATTTTTTGTATGTCCATTTGGTTGAATGCAATATTTAAATATGAGAGCTCGGTGGTTTGTGACAAATATTTTAAAAACGGTTCACTACATTCTATGGGTAAGTGATTTCTAATTGAAAGCTTTTTTAATTTTTTATTACCAGTTAAGTATGTTAAAAGCTCATTGTATATGATTTTAAATCTTAAATTTACATTTTGTAACTTTAAGCTTTTAATTCCTGGTACTTGAGATAAGGCCACAAAGAAATCGTTTCTCTTTATTAAAAAACCGTTCAGATGGACCTTTGTTAAGTGTAATAGTCCAGGTATTGCGCTATTGATAGCATCTTGAAATTGAATATATTCGGTAATATGGAAACCAATCTGATGGATATTGGGTCTATCTCTTATTGACAATTTCTTTAATTTTGAGCATTGTTTTAAATATTGCTCAAAATTTAAAATTTTATTTTTGAAATTGTTTACCTCTTGGTCATAGTCAAGATCCAATTCATGCATTATATAAGAATCTAAATAATAAAGTCCTAAGTCGAACCCGAAATCTAATGACTTCAAGGTGTCGCCCGAAAAACTTAAGAGTCTATTGATTATAAGCAAGTCTATTAATCCTGTTGCTTTTAATTTCTTTAAATTAAAATGTTGTTGAAAGTCATCATAAACATTTATATGGTAATATTTGGTTTTAAACTTTAAATCTAATTTCTTTTTATAAATAACGTCACCACTTATTTTTAAACCACCTGTTTCTATAACTTTTAAATTATTGAATTCCCCAATATTTCCCACATTGAATTGTTTTACTTGAATTTTTTCAATATTGTCTATAAAATAAATATCATTACTACTATTATTATTATTATTATCACTATTATTGATTTTATAGGTATCTATTTTTATTTTATTGTTTTTTATTAAATCTAGTTGTTTTTTATTATTTATTATAATTTTTTGAATATTTTTTAAAAAGAAATATCTAAATTCTTTTGAAATTGATAAATAATTTATAAAATTATCATAATCAAATAATAAATATTTTAAAATATATTTTATTATGATACTAAA